CTCCAAAAGCATAAAGGCCCAAGGTGCAGTACCGCTCACATGTTCCGCCGATGGCTCGTTGTCGACCCCGCCATTTCCATTGTGGCGACCACTGGTCAAGCAACGCCACCAAGTGCTTTCGAAAGGCGCTTGCATGATAGCTTGGCATGCGGACGAAAGCTCAGTCATTTTTGTTCATGAGAAAGATCAAGGTGGAGCTACGGGTCCAGGATTGAAGTCTCGAAGCTGGCAAATGGCGAGGGGCACAGGAGATCGAGTCAACTTGGCTTTGGGCTCGGCACTGCCTCTCGGAACTGGAAGTGCATGCTTCAACAGAGTTTCGGTTCCATCTGTGGCTCGAACAACCATGGAGTCAATGCTTGCAACATCGCAAGCAGGTCCGTACTGCGGTTCCGAAGCTTCTTCTTGCATTTGTTCGGAGAATCGGCGTTTGCGACCTTCCGTGAGCTCCTTGTTATGCTGGAATTTGGTTGCATTGTCTTGATAGACTCGGAACGTTGTCGCCGGCTGCGTCTCCACGTCCTCAGGCGCCGCGTGCACCGCCTGGTGCGGTCGGGCGTTGTAGGCTTCCGTCACGTTCTCCATGTGCTCGCCCCATCCGCCACCGTCTCGGGCCACCTTGCCCGCCAGATCCTTTTTCAGTGTCTGGATGGCCCGGTCGACGTCGCTTGGGTCCTTCTGCCGATGTACCACACCTCCTGGCAAGGCTCCTTCCAAGCCTTGAAATTCTTTGCCCTGGTCCGTCGTCACCACATAGTTCCCTTCGTTCTGCACTAGCTCGGGGATGATCTCCGCGGCCGCTCGGGTAACAGTCTCAGCCTGCTTGTCGGGCAACGCCTTTGTGGCCACCTCCCTTGTGAACACGTCTGTCACCACCAGCCCGTACTTGTTCGCCCCTCGAGTGTTCTGGGAAAAATCCACGAGGTCCGCCTGCAACCTATCGTTCGGCCCCTCGGCCGCCGACTTCCCCAGGCTCCGAGGCTTGGGTGCGAGGACCTGCCTCGCCACATCACTGCGCAGGGCCGCCTGGGCCCGTGCCGAGGTGAGGTCCCGCCGCTCCGGAAACTCCCGGCGAGCGATCTGGTACAGCTTGCGGGGATCACGGACGTTGAAGTCCCGGGCCAGCCGCCCAAGCAACTCCATCGCGTCGTCCTCCGCCATTTCTACTCCGAGTCGTCCTTGCGGCCCTTCTTTTTCTCCAGCTTCTCCACTCGCTTCTGCAGCTTTTTGACGACGCCCCACAGGACCACGGAGAGCTTCTGGTAGTCGAGGGCCATCAGCTCCCGACCGTCCAGGTTCTTCGTCTTGCACATCGTCGCGCCCAGCTTCCCGCTGGACTGCACGTCCTGGGCCACGAAGCCGATCTGCTCCTTGCCGCCGTCGATGCGGTCGAAGAGCTGCGGCTCCACGGCGTCGAAGGTCTCTTGCAGCTCCTCCTCCGGGATGGCCCGGACGTTCTCCTTGAGCGCCCGGTCCGAGAGGTTCACGAAGCCGTAGCCAAAAATCACCTCCCCGTCGTTGCTGCCCCCTATGTTCGGCTCGATGGCCAGATTCGCCAGGCCGTTGGTCGTGTTGAGGGAGATGAACTGGAACTGGGCGTTCAGCTCGCAGTTGCCGCCAGCCAGCACCTTGAGCTCCGCCACGCCGGCTTGGTTGTTGGCGTCCAGGAGCAGCTTGGCGTCTCCCGTGGGCGCGGCGTTGCGCACCACGACCCCCACGGTGCCGTCCGTGGGCCCCACGGCGATTTGCTCCAGCAGCGGCGAGAGGACCTGCACCCCGCTGGTTCCCCCCCACAGGGAGAGGAAGGGCAGCGAGGCCTCCGGGCCCAGCACGCCGTTCACTCGCACGGTGTCGTCCATCAGAATCCCGTTGGTGCCACCCTGGACCGTGAGCCAGGGCGCCGCCGGATCGGAGCGCACCAGCGGGGCCTCGAGCCTGAGATCGCTCGTGACCTCCTGCGTGGCCGACACGGAGCTGCTGCTGGTGAAGGTCCCCGTGGCCGCCGTGGAGCCCACGAAGAACTGGGCGAAGTCGGCCGTGGTGGCGTTCAGGGTGCGGTCCGAGCGCACGGTGATGTCTTGCTCCAGGCCGATGTTGCCGGCGGCGAAGGAGGCCAGCAGTGTGCCGTCTTCGGCGCGGATGGTGGTGGTAGCGTTCCGGAGCTGGAGATCGGCCGCGGCGCTCTGCAGCAGTGGCGTGTCCACGAAGCTCGTGGCCGTGAGGCTGTTGACGGTGAGGTCCGCCGTGGGGTCCACGCCGGGGCTGTTCTCGAGGTCCGTGACCCGCTGGCTCAGGGAGTTGAAATTTGCGATGAGGGGATAGCGCGTATCGCTCTGGCCCTTGGACCAGCAGTCGCAGGAGATTTGGAGGGTGCTGCCGTTGCCCAGGATGGGCTGGCAGGAGAGGGGGGTTTGGCACAGCAGGTTTCGGATGATGCGCGGGGTGAACTGGGTCTGGACCAGATTGAAGATCCCGCCGCCCTCTGCGCCGGGAGCGGTGACGACTGGCTTGTGCAAGTCTATGCTTTTTTGTGCTTTTTTCCTGCCTCTTTGTGGTTGTTTTTCCGTGCCTTGACGTATTGCCTTTTGTCCGACCTTCTGTTGGCGCTCCCTCAAACACACATCATCACGATTTACAGAAATGGCAGGAGCCATACCATGGGATTCAAAAATCAATGGACCCTGTTGTGAAATCTTGATTGAAATTTCCAAGTTTCTCAAAGATTCAGATTCTGACCAATCATTGGCGTAACCCAACAATACTTATTAAGATACCTATAACAGGAAAGGGCAATCACAGAACTGAAATCTTGAGCCCGAAACTCAGGCATGGAATCCTAAACCCCTATGGGCTCATAGCAGGCGGCTGCAACAGCCACCCCAAACTAACCTTCGCAGGCAGCTGCAACAGCTAAGCCTAAATGTCTAGAATGGAAGGACGGCTGCAACAGCCCGTGCATGGACAGGACACTGGCAGCTGTCTGGCGGCCGACCAGCTTGCGTCGCGATGCGGAGGACAGGCAGTCAGTAGGAAATGGTGGGAAAACACATAACGCAACTAGTTGCGAATTGTTTTTTTCCAAGGGAATGGTGTCTGGTTTTAGCTGTTTGGGCTTGTGGGTTAGGAAAACGCATAACGCAACTAGTTGCGAATTGGTTTTTCCCAAGGGAATCGTGTCTGTTTTAGCTGTTTGGGCTTGGGTATTTCCAAGGGATGATGTTTGAGGCCAAAACCCATGGATAGGGTTTTTCCAACAGAAGCGGGTTTGGGCCCGAATCCATAGGAAAACACATAACGCAACTAGTTGCGAATTGGGTTTTTCCAAGGGAATCGGTGTTTGGGGCGAAACCGAACACATTGCAGCTGTTTTGGCTTGCCCTTATGCGGACTGGCGGCTGGCGATGCAAGTGTTGTGCAAAATGCCGGACCCACCGACGTGACAGGGTATGCGAGCGATGTCGGCCTGGCCGCAGAGGCCAACACAACCGGCTGCGTCCACGTCGCAGGATCCGGTGCAAGCAGGGGTTGAGCCCGGAGACCGGCACGTATGGTTCGTTTCCTTTGGCTCGTCGGCTGCAACAGCCCAAAGACAGCGGGGAGCAGGACTTGCGGGCATTTCGCCGTGCCGTGGAGAACGAGCTCACAGATCTTGTTGCTTTGGTGGGCCACGCAACCGCCCATAGCATCCTGGCCCATGCGCATTGTCTGCTGGAGGGCTACGCAAAGAAATGCAAGCTCCCCGGCAAAACCAACGCCATGGTGTTCGGCTTGATCTGGTTTGGCACAGGGCTGACAGCCCAGTTCATCGAAGACGAAGTTGACCTGGAAAGAAAACTTCTGAATGTCAAAGGCTTGACACGGAAGGAAGTTGGGCCGGCAAAGGTCTTCTGGACGAATGCGATGAATTTCGTCGACAAGTTTGCTTTGGGATCGTGATCGGTGTGAGCGGCGGCTGTAACAGCCGGTTGTTTCCTGCATGATCCTGTAGGCCGACTGCAACAGTCTGAGTTCGGAGTGTCTGCCGCGGCAGAATGCTGCATTTTGCATTCTGAGGAATGTTGGGGTTTCCTCTCACGAAGTGAGATGACAGGATGCGAGGGGGCCGCTGATCAAAAAAGAGAGATGCAAACTGCCCCACGAGCAAGCTAAAGAAAGCCGCTGGTCGCAGGAGCCGGCCTCGACGCCGCAGGCGCTCCACTGGACTGCAGAACACTGTTTAGGTTCACAGGCATTCACAGGTCGGCTGCAACAGCCCCTTGAGCTTTAGGGATTGGGAGATTCGTATTGCACTTTGTTCCGGGGTGGGGTCGGCTGCAACAGCCGCTACTACTTTGATATAATAGAATACTCCACTTATCTTTCTCAGCCAGGGCGGGGAAGTACTGATAAACCTGAAGCCGCTTCCCAAGAGCTAGCACCCCAGAGCGAACCTTCCGTTGGATGGGTGTTGCCGCCGGCAAAACCCAGAATCAAGTTGAGAAAGAAGTGGCTCCACCGAGGCGGCGCCAGCGCCAGCAGCGGCGGGCTCCGCAGCAGCCGTGCCGGCCCATGCCTGCCGGCGGCCAGGCAAAACGCAGGGTTTCAGGGGTTTCTCTTCAGGTTTTTTTTCTCTTGTGTATGGGTTGGTCGGCTGCAACAGCCCATGGGACAGAATGGGTTGGTCGGCTGCAACAGCCTATGGTAGATAGGTGTATGGGGGATGTAGATACAGGTATTTTCGGGCTTTCGGTCGGCTGCAACAGCCTCTATTAACGCTCTTGTACCGGTGTTTATGTGGGTTTAGGTGGGGCGTTTATAAGGGGATACTCCAGTTGCCTTTCCCCCCGGGAAAATACACCGAAAAGGGTACTGGGCAGGGCCGACAGAAAAATAAGACTTTTGGCGGAAGTCTGGTTTGGTCAGAAGTGTCGAAGCCACAAGGCCCTGACTGATCTATTGTTCGTTGCAAGGATGGCCTAGGTATGCTGTACCTTTGGCAAGCAAGAGTCACTGGACCCATTATGTCCGAAGGCATTTGCAGGCAAGCAGTGGCAGAAGATTCGCGACATGTCATCCATGAGGTATCTTTAGTCATTTCGGTCGCTTTGGTTATGGCCCATGCGAGCCTTTGCCATGGGTGCAAGAAAGGCTGTGCGATGTGTAAGTTTGGTCGTCTGAAACAGACTTGGCGGCTGAGACTTGGGGAAAGCCAAGAGGGCGAGCAGCACTGGTTGGCGAGACGATTCACGAAGAAGGGTTGGGGAGTAGGGTGCCGAGTATGCGCCGCCAAGGGTTTGCACACACCCTTTGCCCGCTTCGCTCTGACTAGCAAGAATGACCTTCAGCTCATAGCTTTCAAGCGTCATCAGAACTCGCGGGCACATCAGGAGTCCTTGGGCAAACTGGTCCCCGCGGCGAAGGACCGCTTGAAGCCTACAGCGGACCTTTTCTTGGAGCTTCTGCGTGCAAGGCAAGAGCGGCGAACATTGGCGGAGATGAGCCGGAGCTTGAAGGTGGGCCGGCGGCGGGTGCGCAAGATGCAATTCTGCTTGGCCGAGAGCCATCGACATTATGTCCGGCTTTTTCTGAAAGAGGCCCGCTGCGTTGCACTCCACACAGACGCGCGGGAGGGCCGCTTAGTCACGAGGTTTGCAGCCACAACACGACGGCTGAAACAGCTCAAGGGCACTCTGCCATTCCAGAAAGAACACAAGTCCACCGCGCAGGGTTTGGCAGAGAGCATGGAGAAGTCTTTGGTTGATCTCTGCACCCCGTATCTTGGGGCTTTGCCTAGTAGCCACTAGGCTCATTTCTGCATATATGAAGGTTTGTGGACAACCAGGGCCGGCTTTTGTGGATGGCAGATCTTTTTTGCTTGGATTCGGCAGCCCAGGTCGTATGGATGTGAGCCGGCTGCAACAGCCAGATACAGCGCTGCTGGAGCACATAAAGAAGCACATCGAGGTTCTGGATGGCGATGCGGCGTCAGCTCAGCAGGGTGCTTTGGTGGCCTTCGCACGGCGGGCACAGTTGCCGGCGCTGAAGGTTCGTCTTCAAGATCCGACGCACGCGTCCAGGAGGACCTAGGGTGACAAGGATTTTAGTTGCTCTTCTTGTCGCCACGTGATTGCCTGGATTGCAGATTGTCCTGTGCCGCCCGGAAGATTCAAGTGCCAGCATAGTGACCAGTGCACGAGTGTAGACTGTCAGCTGGCCAGACAGCATTAGTATTAGCGTAGCAGTTGCAGTAGCAGTAGCAGCAGTGTTGCACCGATTCTGGGGTCGGGGTGACTTCAATAGTTAGGGGAGCAGTAGCAACGGTAGCAGTAGTACTTGTTTTAGTAGTAGTAGTAGTAGTAGTAGTAGTAGTAGTAGTAGTAGTAGTAGTAGTAGTAGTAGTAGTAGTAGTAGTAGTAGTAGTAGTAGTACTGCTACTACTACTACTACTACTACTACTACTACTACTACTACTACTACTACTACTACTACTACTACTACTACTACTACTACTAGAACAACAACCTCCTAGTACTAGTAGCAGTAGCAGTAGCAGTAGCAGCAGCAGCAGCAGCAGCAGGAGTAGTAGTAGTAGTAGTAGCAGTAGTAGTAGTAAAATATTCCCTAGTAAGGCACTCGCAGTAGCACCAGGAGTAGCAGCAGCAGTAGCAGTAGTAGTAGCAGTGGTGCTAGTAGTAGTAGTACTACTACTACTAGTAGCAGTAGTAGTAGTAGTAGTACTACTACTACTTCTACTTAGAATACTGAGAACTCTGAAGGCAGGAGCGGCCATCGTAAAAATAGAGAATCGCCCAAGATAGAGTTCCTGCTGCCATGAGCTGGGACAGCGGATGGCAGGGTTGGAGCTGGTGGCAGTGGCGCCAATGGAACGATGGCGATTGGAGCTGGAGCTGGAATCGACAAGCCGGCACAGTGGACAATGCGGGCGGCTGCAACAGCCAGGGAAGTGCCGGAGCATCTAGCGGATCTAGCGGCCGCACCTCTTCAGGGATTTAGAAAGAATTGTTGTATGGTTCATGCAATCATATACATAGTGTCTGATGCCAGTCAGAGGTTACGGACCACGCACCGGGGAGGACAGGCAGGCGATGATGAGGAACTACCTCAGCAGCCGCAAACGCATCATGATGCGAGACGCAAAGGAGGCTGGCGATGACTTCGACGTTCACGGGTGGATGCTAGCCAACGCAAGTTGGTCTGGCTACCAAAAGGCGAGGTCCGCTATCCAGAGCGAGAAGCCAAGCTTGAGCAAGGAGGAGGTCATGCTGTGCAGCCGGGGCTTGGTGGCTGGCTTTGCATCCTTGTTCCGCAGCGTGAACCCGTGGTACTTCACGACCATGGGCTCCACGTTGCGGTCCAGCGAGCAGGGGGCGGTGGAGCATTGGATGGCTCTCGTTGAAGGCAGGGGAAATCCTTGCTGTATTTTTCGGGTCTTGCGGGCCTCCCTTTCAGGCGGCGGCTCTGGTGCAAGCGAGAGGAAGGCGGCTGAAACAGCCCTGAAGCAAGAGGACGACGAAAACCAAAAGGCCGTGAAAGAGGCAGGGGAATGGATTGCGATAAAATATTAGAAATTTCTTAGATTTTTCAGGGCGATTGCTTTCCTATTGTTTGATTGCTTCTGAGCTGAATGGTCGTTGTCCTTGCCACAGTGCATGCAGGTGGCTGCCGAAGCCCGTGAAGGGCAGGCACCGGCACCGCCTGTTGAGCCCAGCCCGGGCTTTGTGACGCCGGCGGATGTCAGCAGTGTGGACCTGCTTGCGTACTGCGACATGGATAAGGCCGGCAATTACAAGTGCCACCTTTGTGCCACGGGCTTTATGGACATGCTCTATTTCCAGGCGCACCTCATGACTGAAAAGCACCAGGCCCGGCTCAAGTGGTTCCTGGCGGAGAAGAAGACGGCTGCAACAGCCCAAGCGTCCTCCTCAGCTGCGGCCGCGGGGTCGAAGTCCAAAAGTGCGCCGAAGAAACGCGAGCAGGCCGTGAAGACGGAGCCCAAGGTGGAGCCAGACCAGCCCGTGGAGGTGAAGGAGAAGGTGGAGCAGCCTTTGGAGGTGAAGGAGCAGCCTTTGGAGGTGAAGGAGCAGCTCACAGCAATGGAGGTGGAGCAGCCGGCTGAGCAGCCCATGGAGGTAAAGGAGAAGACGGAGCAGGCAACGGCAATGGCGGTGGAGCAGCCCATGGCGGAGCAGCCCGCGGCAATGGCGGTGGAGGTTGAACCTGCGTGCGAGGTCCAGCTGGAGCAGCCCATGAAGGTGGCAAAGACGGAGAAGCCAGAAGAGGTGGATATGAAGCTGGAGGCGGTGGAGCCGGCTGCAACAGCCCTGGTGGAGCCGGCTGCAACAGCCCTGGTGGAGCCGGCTGCAACAGCCCTGTGCATGGATCCCGGGGACCACATCGCGTACTTCCTGACCGAAGATGGCTTGGCAGAGGTCAAGTATCGCGTGAGTGGTGTGGGACCCAAAATTTTGGTGGTTCTGCCTGGCACCGGCTGCTCGTACATGAAGGACCCAAAGCTTTTGCTGGATGAATACGAGGACCTCCGCATCGTGGAACCGCAGAACGTTGAAGGAGGGGCAAAAGGCAAAAAGTGGAAACTCGGGCCGCCAAAGTGGCTCGCAGCGTTCACGCACCAGGCTGGCGCCAGCTACCTTGCAGGATTCAGCCGGGGGGCTTATTGGGTCAGCCTCTTGGTGGCAGGGCTGTGTGATCATGGCGCCGTCATGATAGACGAGCAGGAGGCAATTCAGATGACCGTAAACCAGACGGCTGCAACAGCCTCGATCCCCGCGTTCAGCGACTTTGATCCTGGCAAGTTGCAGGGCGCGCTTCTGGCGGGCTGGTACAAGAAGCCGGGCTTCAGCGAGTGCGACCTGGAGGACTTGGCGCAGCGCCTGGAACCGCCGGTGTTGTTTGTACAATCTACTGCCCCTGGGCAAGTGACAGTTTTAGCTGTGCTAGGATTGAGAATATGTTTTTTAGCTGTGCTAGGATTGAGAATATGTTTTCGGGAATATTCAGTCTGATCAGGTCGATGAATGCTGCCCAATGCACAAAGTGGAGCGCAGCTTCTTCCAGAGCGTGCAGCGGCTCAACAGGGGCCGACTCATGGTGGCGGATGATCTCAGCCACGGGGATTTGGAGGATCTCATGGGCCTTCAGCCAAAGCAGGCGTCGGCTGGAAAACTAGCCTGGGACGCATTGCTGGTCACGAAGACTGTTCGCCCAACGGTTTGGCGGGCGATGAAGTCCGAATCGGGGTGAAGTTGGCCCGAAGTCCGCTGCAACAGCCAAGAAGATCATTTTCTTGACTTCCGGTAGACGCACAAGCGTAGAGGCAGCAGCAATAGCATCAAGCCAATGCCATAAGCAAGTCCTTCTTCTACCGGAAGTCACGCCCTTGATCACCGCTGCGACGCAACTTCTGGGCAACGCAGAGCAAAAGTCCAGTACGATGCATTCTGCAGTTGCATGCATGCTGCGCTGCATAAACCCATTTGTGTGTTTGCAGGATCTCCCAGAGGCCGATCAAGGCAGATCGCTTTCTATGGGACACGATGCAGATGTTCATCCTGGGGCCGACGGCCATTGTGCGCAAAGCTGCAAATAGCTGCATCTTCCAGAACCTCTTGTCGCACTTCATTGGCCGAATGGAGGTGTGCAGAGGTTTAGACGGCTGGAACAGCCCACAGAGGTTGAGACATGACCTAAGCCTAGGCTTTGACCCACAAACATAGCTCGACTGGAACAGCCCAATGAGGTTTTCGTGGACGGCTCGAAGAACCTGTGTCTACATAGGGGGTCGGGAGGGGCCCAAGTAAGGTGGCATTGCGGCCGGCTGTAACAGCCACTGGAACAGCTTCTTATCATAGTGGCACTCAAGGGGTTAGTACTGCGTAAGAAGTGCAGTTACCGCAGTAATGCATTTCTTCATGAGCCTGGCACCCCGCCCCCTTCCAGGTCCAGGTGACGAAAACAGCCCATCAGAATTTCTCGCTGGCGAAACACCGGTTCGAAAGCAGCTACGAACCAGTCCTCCGCCTCATCTTCCACCTGCCGGCTTTCATTCTCACTGCCCAGCAACTTGTGCGCGAAAGGCCTGCAAGCGACCACATTGCCAAGGCCTGCAAAATTTTTCTGGGCGAACTGACGGAGGAGCGTTTGCTCACGCTCGCCATGATTGCTGACGCAAACTCTGCGATTATGCGGCTCACCCGTTATGTGGATACTGAGGCCTACGACAGCACCGGGCTGCAACACGAAGTTATGACATGTGCAAACACTCTTCATCACCTCTTCATGGAGAATGCCTGCCGTGAACACGGGCTCATGATGCACATGCGAGAGGCCCTCCAGAAGCCGCTGGTGTATGTGGACAGTCAGGGAGTCCCGCATAGTGTTGGCGGAAAAGCCGTGGCACTTCGGGCAGCTGAAACAGCTTGCAAAGCCAGGTTCCAGGCTTTCACAAAGCTCAGCTTGGCGACGATGATTGCAGAGTTTCCATGCTTCAGCATGCTGGCGGCCTTCGAGGCTTTTGTGCTCAGTGGCAAAAAGTTTGCAGCGTTGAGCCGGATGCGTTGGCTGGAGTCTTTGGCACGGCTGGGGAAATTCTGTGATGTAGACGAGAAGGAGCTCACGGAGCAGATGCAGGCTTGGTTTGGATGCGCGCACATTCGCTTATTATTCTTATATGATAAGTGATAAGTACTAGCCTGTCGCTGCGCAGGAACTGCGACCGATGGCCCGGGCGGTCTTCGAGCACACTGACTGCAACGTCTTCCAGGCTTGGCGCAAGGTCTCCTGCCAGCGGCCGGCTGCAACAGCCTTGCACGGGGCGTTACTGCGCCTCGGCATCATGAACGGCTGCACCACGTCAGGTGTGGAGCAGACCTTTGCGAAGCAGTCGCAGCTCTTCACGAAGCACCGCAGAAAAATGCATGTTTCCCTCGAGTGCGATGAGACGGTGCTAGCGGGAGACCTCGTGAGTGAAGAGTGCCGTGTCGTGTCCGATGAGAAGATTTGCCTGCAGGCGGCTCGCATTTGGCTGCGGCTTCGCTACGAAGCGAAGATCGCAACACCAGGTCGCATGACGAAAGGCGTGAAACAGACAGCGACAAAGAACCTGGGCAAGATGTCGGCTGCAACAGCCATGCAGTGGAAACGCCGAGCGCGACAAAAGCTCAGCCAGGCCATGAAGCAGCGTGGCTTGAGAGATGTGAGCTCGTTGGAGACGAGTATCCGCCTTCCTTGTGGACACGCGGGCTGGAGCAGCGCTCACGAAGCGGAACTGGCCTTCCAGAAAAACAAGTTGCTGGAGAAGAAGATGCAGGCATCCCAGGCCGGTATGTTGCTAGAGGCCGAGGAGCGGACGATCGCGGCTGACAAGCCGAAGTGGTTGAGGAGGCAAGCACAAAACACCCACAAGGAGGCCCTGAAGGCGAAACGGTTGAGCGACGTGGACCTCGCTGCAGACCGCCAGTGGAAGTTGGCAGATGTCCTGAGAGGGCAGGTCAGACTAAGTTAAAATTATATGGATGAAGCTGAGCAAGGCACTTCGTGTAATATCAGTCAATGAAACTCCCGTCAGGTAGTGGCGATTGAGCAGGGGCTCGAGCATTTGCGGCCAGCGGCGACGAGGTTCTGCTTGCGCGTGGAAGAGACGGCTGAAACAGCTTCAGTGTGCATTGTCAAGAACCCAGCAGAGGTGCCGAGGCGGATGGCATGGGTGTTGACGCTGTATGGAGGAGCCGCCGTGAATCCGGGCTTCGTCCAGAGCATGGGCAAGAAAGGCGAGCTCCTGCAGTTCGAGGCCGCGGTCCGGAAAGCAAAAGTGGGTATTTGGCTGACACCCGCTTTTGTTGCAGAAGCACCTCGCATTGCTGCGATGCTGCGACAAGCAGTGAGGCACCCTGGGAGCCAGTGGCAGCTACAAGCTGACGAGAACAACTTCTGGAGCATCCGCGGCAAAGCCGTTGCTATCGCTGCGGCGTCGGATAGAGGCCTGATACAGAGGCTTAAACGTCGCTGTGCAGGCACGCGGAAGCAGAAGACGGTGATGTCTGCTCAGGGCTTCCTGAAATCGCAAACAAAGCTAATCCTAAAAGCATGCAAACTTCGGTGCTAGGAACCTTTGTCTTCTAATCCCTACAGTCGGCTACAGCAGCCGGGCACACAGCGAAAGCGCTGAGGTTTTTCAATCTCTAGAGTCGGCTGCAACAGCCGGGGCGCACAGCCACAGCACTCAGAGTCTGTACAGTCTGGGGAACATGGGGAAGAAGATGTTCTTTGGGGAAAAAGAGGCCGCTATTCATCGAGCGGGGCATGCCTAAAGTCCAGTCCAGGTCCAAGGCGCCCAAAGGTCAAGTAAAAAAAAAAAGCACAGACTTGCACAAGGGGGGACTGTTTTAACGACCCCCGCCAGCAGCAGGGGTCCGTAAAACAGTCGCGCACGTGCACGCCTGTTTTAAGCCCCCCCGCTGGGACCCTTCCTGACTGTTTTACCGACCCCCGCCGCCAGGGGGGGTCCGTAAAACAGTCCGGACCCTATGCCAGCCCCCCCCTTAAAACAGTCACGCACGTGCACGACTGTTTTAAGGACCCCCGCCGCCAGCAGGGGTCCGTAAAACAGTCACCCCTTGTGCAAGTCTACGCTTTTTTTTCGGCTTAAAACAGTCACGCACGTGCACGACTGTTTTAAGGACCCCCGCCGGCGGGGGGGGCGGCTGTAACAGCCAAGTCGTTTGCCACCTGAGTTTTTGCTGGTGTGCGAGACACTCTTGCCTTTGCTGTGCTCCCCGCAGCTGCTGTCAAGAAAGTGTTCGCCGGCCGTAACAGGCGAGGTCCTTGAACCTGGGCCATGGTCGGCGGGAAACGGAAGCCGGAATCTCAGGATCCGCCGGAGGATCCCCCAGAAGAGGAAGGGGCTGAGCCGAAAGAGGACGAAGAAGAAGGACCCAGTCTGCATTTGTTAAAATTTGTGTTATTGTCGAATAACCGATTTACCTGAAGGCGGCGGCGAAGACCGCAGCAAACAGCAGAAGCCGAAGCCTGCGTCGAAGAAGCCGGCTCAGCCAAAGGCAAAGGGCAAGGCCAGTGCAAAAGAAAAGGCCAAGCCCAAGGCGAAGGCCAAGCAACAGTCGACGAAAGACCCGGGCCCGGCAGCTGCAACAGCTTCTGACCCCTTGCGGTACGAAGTGGGGACAGTGGATGTCAACGGCGGACATTTGTCTGCTGTGAACGATGCCATCGCTAAGATCCTGCACGAATTCCCAGGCCGCAAAAGTGAGTTGACACAGTATGGATATGCTAAAATAAAATAACCTGGCCCCTTGCGAGGCATCGAGAAGGAGGCGGCCCTCACTATCGCTGATGGCGCCAGCCAAGCCCCGTTCAACCCGGTTGATTATAGCGATGCCATGGGCGGCTTAGCCAGTACATACCGCTGCGGCGGCAGCTTCTGGTGGCTGAATCTGTCGTACTCTCCTGTGAGGACTCAAATCATATGAATCGTTGTGGTGTTAGCTCATTTGTTGACGGCTGTAACAGCTCCAAGTGCCTTTCCTGGCAGGAACATTCCAATCCACGAAGCCATGCTCCAGGAAGTGAAAGACAAATTTTACGGTGGCCCATTCCGCAAAGGCCGTCTTCATGTCTACCCATTTGAATTGGTGATCGCTGTGACGAGTAACGCGCCGATGAGTGATCCCGGAAATCTACAGAGAGTCAGCCCGGGCCCGAGTGCATCAGCATGCGTGCAACATGTAGTTTGCTCCGTCAGCTGCAACAGCTTCGGAAGGCAGTGCATGATCATGCGTGCAACATGTAGTTTGGTCCGTCAGCTGAAACAGCTTCGGAAGGCCACACAAGTTTTTTGACCCGTCCATGGGCCACAGGTCCAGAAGAGCCCGAACACGCTTTTCTCCTTTGGATAGCTGAGCTCCTGGACACCGGCGTGACCGACAATGACCGGCTCCAGATCAAACGTTTGCTGCTGTCCATGCCTTTGAAGTTTGTTGTGCTGGCCTCAGAAGAGGCCAGATATTTTCACCAGGCAAACATGAGAGAGCAGATCGCCATGCGGCACGAGATAGAGTCCCGGACAGCCGTCCAGAAAATTTACGAATTCCAGATGCTGCGAACGAAGAAGAACTGGAAGGCAAAGGATATTGCCGACCGGTACACGAAAGAGGTGGAGCAAGCCCCGCGGCCACAGGCTGAACAGGTCAGCCTGAAGTACATCGAGAATTGTTTCCATATTTGGGATGCTCTTTTCACCATTCCAGACGTCCAGGCCGTGATCCTCGACATGGAGAGAAGACATGGTATGAAAAGCCCTTTCCATTTCATGTCCCAGCTCCTTGCACTTGAGATGAAATGCAAGTCAGCTGAAACAGCTTTTTGGGCCGTCAGCTTCATGCGCTTGTACATCGACCGCGGTTTGATGACCCATGGTGAGATGACATTCCGAAACTTGACCGGTCGCAACACGAACCAGAAGGGTTGGCTTGACGTGATCATAGAGAAAAAGGCCGTGCTTGCTTGGCTACAAGGCCCCTTTGTGGAGAAGCTTGAGCTGGCTGAGTCAGAGAAGGCAATGCCTTAAACCCAAAACCCTAAACCCTGAACCCTTAACCCCTAAACCCTAAACCCTAATCAATTTTCAGCCTGTCCGTGGCAGTGCAAGAGGGGTTAGCAAGTGTTGCCATGAAGTGCTGGCAGGTTCTTATTCGCAGCATCACGTCGGCTGAAACAGCTGAGAGGTTCTTTGCCACTGATCAGGGCTGGAAAGCTGCCTGCCGAGCAGAGGCAGTGAGTTTGCTCGACTTCATCTGGAAGGTGGTGTTTGGTGCCAAACACGATGGTCAGTTGAAGAACTTGCTGAAGCAAAGCCGGACACCGGAGGAGTTGATGGGAGTGGCTCCATTTGCGGATGACATCCAGGCCATCAAGGATGAAGCCGAGCAGAAGAAAGAGGAGGAGGCAGGTGTGCTAGCAACCAATCACATGCAAGATGAAGTCGGCTGCAACAGCCGTGTTCGATTGCATTGCAGGATGTCCATTGATGATTGCGCATCCATATGTTTACGTAGCTGTTTGTTTCTTGTTTGGGGCGGCTGCAACAGCCTTGTTCCGGGATTGGAGAACGCTTATCTCAGATTTGCTCAAATGGTTGCACTTCTGAAGAAAGTATTATTTAGAAATTTTGTCTCTGCAAGGTACCTAGAGTCGGCTGGAACAGCTCTCAGGGAAGAAAGAAAGACTGGTATGAGATAGTACATTATTCAATCGCAGAAACACTTGATTTTCAGTAGATGTCATGGTACCGTATTTGAGTTGTAATGCTCCCTCTTTCTCACATGGGACGGCTGCAACAGCCTTGTACAGAGGATGAGATTTTCAGAGCCCTAATGTGTCTGAAGAATCACGCACAGGCGACACCAAGGGCGGCTGTAACAGCCGGCGTGCATCCTGACGGAGATGCAGACGACGGTGGCTACACTGAGCTCGTGCACAACATGTGCACGGCGGAGGACATCGAGAAGGACAAGGACAACGCGTTGAGCGCTTGGATGGAAAAGGCTGACAACTTGGTCCGGAAATTCATTCACCTGACAGTCGACTGTAACAGTCAGACGGAGATTTCAGAAGCTTTGAAAAACATGGCTGTTGTGAAGATGATGGGGCAGGACAACAAGCGTATCGGCGTGTTCTACGCATGTCAACATGCAGGTGAAAGCGACAGCATGCCACATTGTCGGATCCCCGCATTCAGGCTTGATCATCTGCAGAAGACGATCGGCGGCACTATCAAGGCCGCCGGCTTGGATGCCTTGCCGCCAGGCGCTGTGTATTTCATCTTGAATGGCGGCAGCTTCGGCAACAACGATGCCTTCGGGAAGGCTTTCCTGGACGTCAACAACAAGGCTATGGCCAAGAATAAAGACCTTGTTTACCTGGCGCTGCAGGAGGAATCGCTGCAAAAGCGACGGCTGCGCAAGAGAGGCGGTCTCAACTTGATGCAAGGGGTCGTCATCTTCACCCCGCCGAGTATGGAGCTCATCCAGGGCAGCAGCCACACAGCGGAGAGGCTGCACTTCACAAGCACCACTCCGAACTCCAACATCATCAGCGGGATCTCGGTCGAAAGCTACGAGGATCTGTGGTTGCTCGAGCCTGCGGTGAAGAAGCGCATCATGAAGGATGGACTGGTCAGGGCCGGCGGGAGCTGCCCTGAGCACCTCAGGGAGGACAAACCGGAGATCTCCGGCAAGGGCTCGAAGGTACCGCTCAGCTGGCACTCGTTGCCGCACCAGCTGTGGGAAGAATTTTTTCATTCCTACGAGCTGGATGGCGGTGTTTTCCTAACACTTCTTGATGACCAGCCGGCTGTAGCAGCCATAAGGTGTCAGAAGCAGGCCGTGGGATTGACCTTGAACTCGGCTCATATGGAGATGATGTATGCTCGCCTGGCCGGCGTTGTCTTCCAAGCTTTCCGCGATCCAAGTGATGATCTCTACGAGCCCGCTCTTGGGAAGCTGCTCGGAGTAAAGCCGAAGTCCAAGAAGACCACGGTGGTGCGCAAGAACCCCAAAAAGAAGGCATCATCGAAGAACAAACCAAAGAAGAAGAAAACGTCGAAGAAAAAGAAGACAAGCAAGCAGGAAGAGGAGGAGGACGACGATGAGGAAGATTTGGAAGAGCCGGAAGAAGATGAAGCAGACGACGATGAGGGGGACCTTGAGGAGGACGAAGGTGACCTTAGCGATTAGAGTTGGCTGTAACAGCCCAAGAGCCCTGCCAACACAAGTTGGCTGCAAAGCAACGGGCCATTTTTCGTGTCTTGCAGTCACATCGGCTGCAACAGCTTCCAAGGGCCTCGGTGGCAGCCCAGAAACCGAAGCCTTGATACCCGAAAGCGCAGAGACAGTTGGCTGCCACAGGCCGCATTTTGCTCCGTCAGCTGCAACAGCTTCGGAAGGCCATACAAGTTTTTGACAGTTCTACGTGCACGCCTACTCGCGTGAAAAGTGGCCATGAGCATGCTAGCTTGAAGAAGTGGTTAGCAGCTTAGCATCTGAGCGGTTGTCGAATTTTGCAAGCGAGCATTCTTGGTTTCAGTCGCCGCTGCCAGCCGGATCAGTTGATGTCGACTGGAACAGTCTTGATTGTTTGATCCATGCCGGTGAAAGTCGTGAGTGCTTGCGCAGGTCTGGGAACAGAGAGCTTCGCATTGAAGGATTTGGGCATTGATCACCGGCTCATCCTGTGCGCGGAAAAGGAGCCGCATTTACGGAAGTTCTTGAAGGATCACCACCAGCCGAAAGTTTTGGTGAAGGACGTGCGAGATTCTAGCTTCATGGAGCATGGATCCGGCGCTCAGCTATTGGTGGCAGGCTTCCCCTGCCAGCCGTTCTCGAGGCAAGGCTCGAATCGCGGTGTGCGCGACCCGCGAGGTGACATTGCTTCGCATCTTTTGAAATGGGTAGATGCCCATCGGCCGGACTCGTTTGTGCTTGAGAACGTGACCAACTTGATGAAGCATAAGAAGACCTTTAAGCGCATCCTCAGGGACCTCAAAGCCATTCCAAGCCGGAAGACTACAATGACAGGCAAGAGAAAGCATGTCGGCTGCAACAGCCGGGAGTCCAGCGGGAAGCATGGTGGCAAAAAAGATGGCTACTACGATGTGCAATTCAAAATCTTGAATTCCAAGTTCCACGGCGTGCCGCAGGACGAGTAGACTATGTTATGTTACTCAGTGCATTTCTTCGGGATCAAGCAACAGTTTAGGAGTTTCGGGATGCAGATAAAATACAGTTGAGATACGGGAATTTCTGATTGTTGATTATCACACCCTAACAGAACCGGCCTCGCCTCTTCATCGTGGGCATCGCAAAGTCCAAGCTGAAGCGGAAGTTTCACTTCCCAAAGCCAGGTACCTGCACCAGCTTGAAGAGCAGTCTGAGTACCAGCAAGACGGCTGCAACAGCCTCTGGCAAGTTGTCGGCCACAGGACAGCGCAACCTGGCCGTGGCAGAAGCAAAGTGGAAGAAGAAGGGCTTGGACATGTGGTCCAAGTACATCGCTGTGGACATTGCCGCTTCCCCTTCGAGACCCAACAGCATGAACAACAATTGCTTGCCCTGCCTAACTTCGTGCCGAGCTTCATGGGGCCCTCCTTTCATCACGAAGCTGGGACGCCAGCTGAGTACGAATGAGCTCTTGCGAGCGCAAGGCTTCGACCCCAAGATTGTCGGCTGCAACAGCCATCTGTCCAAGCGGCAGCTTGGGGCTGCAATCGGAAATGCAATCACTTTGCCCGTCCTGAAGCAGATCCTGGCTAAGATTTTCCAGGCGATGTCGTAGAGTAGGCGCCAAGCATTCTCACCTGCAACACGCAAGGTCCACGTGCAAAAGTTCAGTGACGATTTTGGTTTGCGTCGCAGAAGTTACAAAAAGGATTGGAGCACCAGTCTGCGTCTTCTTGCAGTCTGACTAACACAGCATGCGAGCTGAAGCATGTGACATGTAGCAACAGTGGTTTCGACTTCTTTGTTGTTCAAAGACTTGACGAAATGATTTGTATACCAGGCGCAACGAGTTTCAGGAAATGGTCATGCACGGTGAAACAACTTCGCTCTGCGATTCAGAGCTTGAGTGCAGGCTGTTTCTGGCTTGGGCCAGCCAGCCTTGCGAATCTTCAACATGTCGGGGCGATTCTCAATCTGGTCAGTCTGTTGCAGACGGCAAATTCCGATCAGTCATCGTAGCGTCGGGCACACCATGGACAGAACACCCATACAGCATCTTCGCGTCGTTGGCCACAGCTTGCGCAAAAACGATTTGCGAAAGGCATGCTGGCTTCAGCCGATGCTGAGGGATTAGCATTAGCTGCCAACTGTGCGTTGCAATTTGTCTTCGCCCGAACCCTGCGTAGGACGGGCTCGAACGCAGTATCCACTGTCGCCTTTTGTCGAGAAGTTGTTGGGTAGTCGTAATAGCGGTCGCAAGTAGCAGCGGAAGTACCAGCAATGCTGCCAACAAGGGCTGACGACTTGCAGACTTCTTTCATCAGTGTGACAGAGCTTCTCTTCAACGAGTGCGTGCCTAACTTGGACAAATTGTAGTTCTCCCAAACGCTCTGCGGCACGTCCACGCCTCTTTGTTGTTGGGCGCGACATCCCGTGCGTTCACGACATATGATGTCTGCTGCTGTTGTCAGCCTCTTGTGGAATCCTTGCCTGCTGATGGAAGTGCCCCACAAGCGTAGACCTTGGACAGTGGCTGAAGGAAACATATATGCGTCCGAGGACGTGCTTTGACCTTCAAAGGGCCACTGGCTGTTGCTGGCATTGCCGCTTTGGCCACCCACCAGGGGCTGCTTATGGATCCACTTGTGAAGAAGTCTTGCCAGCTCCCGTGGCAAAGGGATGGTGCGTTCTTTCGTCTTCTTATTGACTTTCTCAATATGAATGCACGGCAGATCTTTCGCCCGTGGTGACAGGTTCTGCAGCCACCCAAACTTGGCCTGAACAATACAGCCAGCCCTTTCACCGCAGGACATGCACAGGAGGGCCGCTACCGCTGCCCAAGGTGCGCCATCACGGAGCAGCACATGGAACAGGTCCGTGAGTTGCGCTGCGTCAAGCGGCTCTCTCGGTCCACGCTTGGCAACCATCGACTTGGGCAACAGGCAATTGTCCCGGTGGCGCTCACAGCAAAAGCGCACCCACTTGCTGTGGGCCCGCAGCGAAGTCCTGCATTTGTCTGCTTGCACTCGGTCTCTCTTGACTTTCAGATTGGACCCGACATTCTTGACATCCAGCTGTGACTTGCATTTCTTGTACGCACATGGGATGCAAAGCCGGGAACCAGCCTTGCGTTGAGGGCCGGTATTGCCCAATCTAATTTTTGGACGTGCCATACCACTTGAGCCCTCGAAATGTGTCTTCCAATGTACGAAAAGACAGTACCAGAGGCTTAAATCATGAGTGAAACACATCATGCCAACCAGACTTGCTTCTAAGCATTGCCGCCATTGCAGTAGGGCTAACTGCAAGGGAACACATAATAGGATCCATAACCAGACTTGCAAACCAGACTTCCGCCAAAAGTCTTATTTTTCTGTCGGCCCTGCCCAGTACCCTTTTCGGTGTATTTTCCCGGGGGGAAAGGCAACTGGAGTATCCCCTTATAAACGCCCCACCTAAACCCACATAAACACCGGTACAAGAGCGTTAATAGAGGCTGTTGCAGCCGACCGAAAGCCCGAAAATACCTGTATCTACATCCCCCATACACCTATCTACCATAGGCTGTTGCAGCCGACCAACCCATTCTGTCCCATGGGCTGTTGCAGCCGACCAACCCATACACAAGAGAAAAAAAACCTGAAGAGAAACCCCTGAAACCCTGCGTTTTGCCTGGCCGCCGGCAGGCATGGGCCGGCACGGCTGCTGCGGAGCCCGCCGCTGCTGGCGCTGGCGCCGCCTCGGTGGAGCCACTTCTTTCTCAACTTGATTCTGGGGGTTGCCGGCTGCAACAGCCATCCAACGGAAGGTTCGCTCTGGGGTGCTAGCTCTTGGGAAGCGGCTTCAGGTTTATCAGTACTTCCCCGCCCTGGCTGAGAAAGATAAGTGGAGTATTCTATTATATCAAAGTAGTAGCGGCTGTTGCAGCCGACCCCACCCCGGAACAAAGTGCAATACGAATCTCCCAATCCCTAAAGCTCAAGGGGCTGTTGCAGCCGACCTGTGAATGCCTGTGAACCTAAACAGTGTTCTGCAGTCCAGTGGAGCGCCTGCGGCGTCGAGGCCGGCTCCTGCGACCAGCGGCTTTCTTTAGCTTGCTCGTGGGGCAGTTTGCATCTCTCTTTTTTGATCAGCGGCCCCCTCGCATCCTGTCATCTCACTTCGTGAGAGGAAACCCCAACATTCCTCAGAATGCAAAATGCAGCATTCTGCCGCGGCAGACACTCCGAACTCAGACTGTTGCAGTCGGCCTACAGGATCATGCAGGAAACAACCGGCTGTTACAGCCGCCGCTCACACCGATCACGATCCCAAAGCAAACTTGTCGACGAAATTCATCGCATTCGTCCAGAAGACCTTTGCCGGCCCAACTTCCTTCCGTGTCAAGCCTTTGACATTCAGAAGTTTTCTTTCCAGGTCAACTTCGTCTTCGATGAACTGGGCTGTCAGCCCTGTGCCAAACCAGATCAAGCCGAACACCATGGCGTTGGTTTTGCCGGGGAGCTTGCATTTCTTTGCGTAGCCCTCCAGCAGACAATGCGCATGGGCCAGGATGCTATGGGCGGTTGCGTGGCCCACCAAAGCAACAAGATCTGTGAGCTCGTTCTCCACGGCACGGCGAAATGCCCGCAAGTCCTGCTCCCCGCTGTCTTTGGGCTGTTGCAGCCGACGAGCCAAAGGAAACGAACCATACGTGCCGGTCTCCGGGCTCAACCCCTGCTTGCACCGGATCCTGCGACGTGGACGCAGCCGGTTGTGTTGGCCTCTGCGGCCAGGCCGACATCGCTCGCATACCCTGTCACGTCGGTGGGTCCGGCATTTTGCACAACACTTGCATCGCCAGCCGCCAGTCCGCATAAGGGCAAGCCAAAACAGCTGCAATGTGTTCGGTTTCGCCCCAAACACCGATTCCCTTGGAAAAACCCAATTCGCAACTAGTTGCGTTATGTGTTTTCCTATGGATTCGGGCCCAAACCCGCTTCTGTTGGAAAAACCCTATCCATGGGTTTTGGCCTCAAACATCATCCCTTGGAAATACCCAAGCCCAAACAGCTAAAACAGACACGATTCCCTTGGGAAAAACCAATTCGCAACTAGTTGCGTTATGCGTTTTCCTAACCCACAAGCCCAAACAGCTAAAACCAGACACCATTCCCTTGGAAAAAAACAATTCGCAACTAGTTGCGTTATGTGTTTTCCCACCATTTCCTACTGACTGCCTGTCCTCCGCATCGCGACGCAAGCTGGTCGGCCGCCAGACAGCTGCCAGTGTCCTGTCCATGCACGGGCTGTTGCAGCCGTCCTTCCATTCTAGACATTTAGGCTTAGCTGTTGCAGCTGCCTGCGAAGGTTAGTTTGGGGTGGCTGTTGCAGCCGCCTGCTATGAGCCCATAGGGGTTTAGGATTCCATGCCTGAGTTTCGGGCTCAAGATTTCAGTTCTGTGATTGCCCTTTCCTGTTATAGGTATCTTAATAAGTATTGTTGGGTTACGCCAATGATTGGTCAGAATCTGAATCTTTGAGAAACTTGGAAATTTCAATCAAGATTTCACAACAGGGTCCATTGATTTTTGAATCCCATGGTATGGCTCCTGCCATTTCTGTAAATCGTGATGATGTGTGTTTGAGGGAGCGCCAACAGAAGGTCGGACAAAAGGCAATACGTCAAGGCACGGAAAAACAACCACAAAGAGGCAGGAAAAAAGCACAAAAAAGCATAGACTTGCACAAGCCAGACGAAGTAGCGGGCGTCGAGGGGCCCGAGGTCGTTGGTCCGCAGGAACCGGCTGTCCGCCTCCGCCTTGGTCCAGGAGTCGCAGCGGAGCCGCAGTGTGCTTTGATTGCCCAGAATGGCGTCGCCCGACAGGGGCGCTTCGAGGAGCAGGTTGCGGATGATCCTTGGGGTGAACTGCTCTTGAACCAAGTTGAAGATTTGCCCGGACTCCGCGCCCGGAGCCCGCACGAAGTAGCGCAGGTCCGCGTCCGCCTGGGTTTGGAAGCCCGCGCCGGCGATGGCGTCGTCGATCTCGATTTGGGTGCGCCCGCTGGTCCAGTATTGGGTGAGCGTGGCCGTCAGCAGGGAGTCCAGCTCCGTGCGGGGATAATAGGCGAGGAGCTCGTTGGCCACGTAGCTCTGCGTCTGGGCGGAGGTGTAGTAGGCCGACAGATCCACGGAGACCGCAGCGGCGATGGCCTGGTCGGTCTCCGCTCTGGTGTAGAAATCCAGCAGGGCCGTGATGATCTTGTTGTCGACCTGGCTGCTGTCGTCGTAGGAGCTGAGCGCCGAAGCGATGCTGGAGGTGACGGAGGCAGTCGTGGCGTAGTTGGCCAGCTCTCCGGCCACGAAGCTCGAGACCTCCGCCTGGGTCCAGTAGGTGAGCAAGGCCTGGTCGATCAGGAACTGCACCCCCGTGGCGTCCTGGTACTGTCCGACGTTGAGGGCGTCGGTGGCGTCGGAGATGGCGGTGTTCATCTCGGCGGTGCTGCTGTAGGCTCCCAGGGCGTCGGCGATCGCCGTGCCCACCTGGACCGTGGTGCTGTAGGCGGCCAGGGCGGCCAGAATCTCGTTGCCGACCCAGGCGAGCGGCGCCAGCAAGGCGTCCGTCTCCGCTTTCG